CCCGCTCACTGGCTTACTGCAACTTCCCCTGCTCTGGAGTCAGCCTTTTCAGTTAATTCAGTAACTGCAGAAAACAAACCTCCTGTGTGCATGTTGGCTTCTTCAGGGTCAATGAAATCTGTGCCATAAGGCGGATCTCACTGTAAGGTTCCACAGCCGTCCATTACCTTTCTTCTAGTATCTTAGCATCCACCTTTTTGATTTTCTACCTAGGATGTGAGCACCCTAGAAAAGCCTAAACAGATTTAGGGTTTGCATTTGTCATTTACAAACTTTCCCCCTAATGTCAAGATTTCAAGTCTCAACTCTCCTTACACTGATTGTTATTTAATATCCACAGAAAAGGCTAAGCAGTGGGGCCTTTTTTCTTGTCTTCAAGGACTAAAGCACTTTCCCTTCCAGAGAACTCTATGATGCTTATATTGCATTTTTAAAAAAAGATTTATTTATTTATGCAAACAGAACTGGGGTACAGACCAGAGGTGCAGGGATGAGAGGATTCACTAGAGACATAGTGGGGAGCAGGACAGATAAATGGACTGGAATACATGGCTGAGGGTAGCAGCAGGTGGGTCAAGAGAGCTCTGCCATGCCATGTGGGTCACCTCCCTGGCTGGGGATTGAACTCATGCTGCAGTGGCTGTGGTAGCTTCATAGTTCTGTTTTAAGCCGTTGAGCCACCAGGGAGGGCCCTATATTGCATCTTTGATTCAAGAAATTTCCAAGTACTTTGTAAAAGTTCTCATCAGTATTTCCATATTGACATGAAAAAAGAATGCAAATATACTGGTCTTGTTACTGCAAGTGTGTAAAAATTCCTGCTTCACTTAAGTAAACAACCAGTCAGGTAAACCATTAGCCAGGTAAATGATGACTGCTTCTCACAGCTAATAATCAGAGACTAGGCAGAAATGCCACCCAGTGGGGCCCTTCTGAGAGAGTGTGAACTCACCCACCACTCCCTTCTGAGAGAGAGTGAACTTCTAGGCAGCATCATCTCACCTCCTGCTTGCCCTTCCCCCTCCTTGCACTCACCCAGCTCTCCTGCACCCTGTATTTACCCTGGCCACTTCCTGCATCATGGACACAATACTGGCTTGGGGACCGGGCCACTGAGTGTCACTTTTGAAAGTCACTTCAAAATCTGGGACTCTTTCTTCTTGAAGTGCTGGGCTAAGATGCTCTTTCAGGACATTTCTCACTCCAAGATTAGTCAATTCATTACAAAACTGGATCTTAGAAAATGAAAAAACTGAAAAGCCTGGGAAGAGTTATAATCCACTGAGCAATTTGTGATCCTCCCCTATATGTGTTCTTGCTAGAAACATTTATTGATGCAACTACCTCTCCCAGGTCTAGTACTTTCACTAGCTTGTAAATGTCTAAACAGCAGAGGTGCTACCATCTCCTCTTGCTCACTAGGCCACAAACATCAGGGGAGCCGTCCTGATACTGAGAGCCACACAGAACATCTTCTCCCTCCATAAGTGGAAACAATAGGTTTGTGGTTTCCTCAATCAAAGTCTCCAGGCTGTTCTGATTCTTGAAATCACAACAGAGATCAACAGAAATGACACCCAAGAAAAAGCAAAAAGCCCCCAGGAGGGGAGGGGAAACACCCCCAGCAACTAGAGCTGGAAGCCAGTCAGGGGGTGGTGCAGGTGGCCTGACCCACCCCCTTGGCGGGTCTGCGGAGCCCAATTCTCAAACAGTGGAAGAAGAGTGGGCTTCCCTGACTCTCAACTCGTCACTTACCTTTACTTCAGGGGGCAGTTCTGGCTGGCCCAGGTCCGGAGGATGCTCTCCGTCTTCCCTCTCCTGAGTGGTGTCTGCTGCTTCCATGCTGTCCTCTTCCAGGGGGAGCCCTGGGCCCTCCTCTGCAGTCCTGCCATTCCTGTCCATAGCTGCTTCTTCTGCACCTGCTTCTGCTGTGTCTCCCTCACCTGCATCCTGGGTGGTGGGAGACACAGGGCTCGTGGGGGTCTCTTCTTTCTCTCCATTCACTAATTTCATGTCGAGCAAGGGCTCAGCTGTCTCAGAGGGCGGTTCTGGGCTTACACTGGCCTGCTGGTCCTGTTCGTGTTCACTCTGGTCTGGCGCTGCCATCAAGCCATTAGCCAGACTGGTTGGCTCGCCCGGAGCTTGGTCTGTATCATTTTCTTGCTTCAGGGGTGCATGCTTGGAGGATAGCTTGTGCTGAGGGGTGCTGGTCAGCCCAGGCCTCCCGGGGGTCCTCAGGGTGTTCAGGCTCACCGCAGATTCCTTCTTCGGATCACTGAAAGTTGATAATGAGCTAAAACATAAAACATAGAAGGTGCGAAGACATTGGTATGGACAAGTTCTAGGTGGAAAAGCACATTTATTTCAGCTGAAAAGGCACTTTAGTGAAGACATTGCCTCCTGTGAGGCCTTCAGACTTGAGGTGTTATATGTACTAGGTGGGTGGGGAGAGATACCCGTTCTTCACCTACAGGGCCTGGGGTACCTCCTTGGGCTGGTCATCCGGTGGCAAGTTAGTGTAGACTGAGATGTGAGAAATGGATTCTGACTCCTATCATTTTAAATACAAGTATCATCAGCCCTCAGTTTATGAACAGATCAGTAGCCAAAGACTTTCTGTTTGGTGAGCAGAACATAGTCTTGAAAATTCAGTCACATGTTGCCAGAGCTTTCCTTACTGAACGTCTGCTTTGGTGGCAGAGGCCATATTCAGAGGCTCATCCCCAAACTTCCCGGTGACCCTGCCTGTGCTTCCGAGACCCTACTCAGCTCTGGCCCCAAGGTCAGGCCTCAGTCTCTCCTTAGGGCCTGCTCTCAGCCTTCCCAGTTTCTTCGCTGCTCCCAACATCCAATAAGCAAACACGTGATCTGAGGATTCCCAGGCTGTTCAATGTCCAGCATGGCTTTCCCAAGACAGGGCTGGGACACCACATCCAGGAGCCTTTCCTGGGTTGTTCTATCACTCCCCGAACTACACATCTTATGTTGATCTTCTTTAAAATCTTCACCATCACGTGACATTATGTATAATAAAATCCTAAAGTGTAATGGGGCTTAAACACCAAGATATTACACTGTTCTAATGGAAATGTTTGAGTATCATTTTAATCCAGGATTCCGGGTGGGGGTTGGCAGGTGGGATTTGGGGAGTGGGGGGTAAGCATGAAACACAGAGCTGCAGTCTGGGAGATATTCCTTGACCTGATAAGGAGGAAACATGAATATGGTGCAGATGTGCCTGCCTCGTCTGTGCTCTTTCCAGGGCTGGGTCTGGCCTGGCAATGGTCAAGGGCTGTAGCCATGATCACAGTGGCTCAGTTTCTACAGTGGACATTGACCAGGTGCAGTAAAGTCCACTCTGTTCTTACACAGGCCACTGGCCCCTCATAGAGATGCTGAGGGGCGGGGTGGGGGGGCTTACAGTGTGGCCAGCAGATCCCAAGACACAGTAAAGCTAGGTTTCCAGCCAGGACTGCTGGAGGAGGGGAGGCTGAGCAGGGCAGCACAGGAGGGAGGTCTTCTCCCCTGACACGGCTGGTATGGAGCAGAGAATGGAACAGGCAACAACAACAGGAGCCAAGAAAGCAGAGCGGGGGAGACTCGGCAGAGCGCACTGTGCCCTTCACACATCAGAGCGGCAGGTGGTTGTCAATGCCCATGAGTGTGGTGGCACTGCCACCTGCATGCTCGGAGGGGTCTACACACATCCCAGCAGGCTTCACAGACCCAAGCACAACACAGAGACCCTCTGCACCTAAAAGCCCAACTCGGTTGGCTCAAAGTTTTTGGGAGGAATCTGCTTTGGATGAGAGCCAGGACCTCCTGTCATACCTGGGGGGCAGGTTGTGGGGCTGGGTAGGGAAAAAGATGGGGAGGGAAGGTGGTTAAAAATCAGGGGCGGCGGGCCCTCCCTGGTGGCATAGCAGGTTAAAGCGCAGCACTGAGAAGCTAAAGCCACTTCAAAGTGAGTCCAATCCCCGCCCCAGAGGTGACCCACATGGCGCGGCAGACCTCTCCTGACCCACGGCAGACACCTCCCCGACCCGCCCGCTACTCCCCTCAGCAGCAGTGCACTTTATCAGTCGGCCTGTTCTGCTCCCCACTCTGTCTCTGGGGAATCCTCTCACCGCCCCTGCACCTCTGGCCAGTACCCAGTTCTGTATGCATAAATGAATAAATCTTTAAAAAAAAAAAAAACTGAACCAACTGATGAACCAACACAGATTCCTGCTGCTTTGTGGATGCCAGACCTCAGGGGGAAAAAACAGCTGTGCAGTGTCTGGGGGAAATCAATGTTTGTGGGAAAATGCTCTCTACTTCTTTCTAAAATCCTGAACTCCTGCACAGTTTAAAACCACTAGTATCTCTCACTGCCAAAAAAGAAAAAGGCTAAAAGCTAAAAAAAAAAAAAAAAAAAAAAAAAGCCACAGTAAAAAGTAAATACAGACACTCCCTCCAATGAGTCAACCTCATGGAGGAGGAGGGGACTGGGGCATGGCAAAGGCCAAGACCATGAAGCTGGGGAAGGCGGCCATGCCCAGATGGGCTCCAACACCCCTGGAACAGACTCTAGAGCCTCCTGTCCTTCACCATGGCGACACAGAGCCTAGAGAATCGTCCCCGTCCCACAAAATGCTTATGTAACCACTAAGAGCTGGGAAATGACCCAAAACCCACACTGTAGGCACAGGGACACCACTTGATAGGAAACACCAACTGCCACTGAAGCCCATGGTGAGAGCCACGAGCCCTCACACTCCTGCAGGGCCCATGTCCCCAGCTGCACCTCGCTCAGGACATGTGACGGCACTTGTCCCTGGCGGGGGGCCCTGTGGCAGGAACCCCTTCCACCAGAGCCTGCAAAGGCTCTCCCTGCATCCTGCCGCACCCAGAGCAGGCCACTTCATGTGTTGGAATCACAGCACCTCTCTCTAAGACCAAACCTTTCAGCTTTGTATTAAATGACTTTGAATCTGCAAAGTTTGAGTAAGTGAAAGAAAACTGGTATTAGTAAATGGGAAATCTGTGTGCATTTTATGTAGAGAAGGGTGGTGGGAGTGAGTTTCCAAACTGTGAGGAACCTGCTGCTACAGACCCACTGTGGGCCCGGGTGCCGGCTGGTGCTCAGGGCGCAGGCCCACCCCTCCTGACCCTCAGGGTTAGGCTGGCCCTGGATGGGGCCCTGGGACCTGCCAAGAGGAGGGGGCTCCCTGAGCTGAGAAGTCAGTCTTATTAAGCAGAACTAGATCACTTTAGTAAAGGCTACTATCACTTAAGATAACAACGGTATTAAAAACACTATTTCAGAGGAGACATGGAATGAATATTTATGACCCAAGTTCCTACAACTGACTGGGAATGAAAAATGAATTCAGCCCCTGCAAGACTTTCCCCCAGAACGTGACTAAATGCAGACTCATTTTAAACCAGGAGCACTGCAGGTCAGTGTCCACAAGTTCCATAAGCTTCTGAAATTCCTTTCAAGCATGGCCCGGTACATGAATAAAAGATCCCCCAAATAAATTAGTTAAAGTCACCTAGAAAAAAAATTCCCTTATTATATACTGTGATCAATGGAAACAGTTGGCTTCCAGGGTAAAAAGGCAGTTAAATATGTTTCTGTTTAGTTATATATATATTTTGTTGACATAAAATAAAACCCTTCTGAGAAAAAAAACTTGTACATTTAACTTAGGGGTGAGAAGTGTAAGACAAAACAACCGAGGGACAGGGACGTCTAACCTAAGGGTTGTGAGGTTAGAAATGCCAGGACTAAGGAATGTGAAATAAGTAATAAACTGAAAACTGGAATGACTTTAGCTCTGGCAATATCTTCACGGAAGTAGGGGGTGGCAGGGGCCTGAGTGCAGAGCAGACCCAACATGGTGTCCAGCCAGCAAGGGAGTATGCTGCATACACACAGGCACACACATCACACACGTACCACACAGATACATGCCACACACACACACGTCACATACATGCCACACACCAGGCACAGCACACATATCAAACATCTGGCATGCACACAGCACACACAGACAACAACACACATATACACACCACACACAGACATACACAGTGAAAAACAGGAGAGAGATGACCTCCTGCCGGCACCCCGAGCCCAGGGGCCAGCAGCTTGGCCCAGGAGCAACCCAGCGGGACATACACAGTGCAAACAGCTGGGTACATCTACAGGACCCTGAGGATACCACCTGGGCCCAGCGCTACACACACGTCAAGCACAGAGTGACCACTCATATTAGGACAAGATCAGATGCCTAAAACCTACACTTCCCAAAGGCCGGCCAACCCCAGTGAGGCACACACGGTATTTTCGATCTCAAAACCCATGACTTGATCATTTGCTCAGAGGCTGGCATTCCTCTGCCTCTGCCTCATGGCAGGAAGGGGCGCTCACCTGCCCCCCTCGAAGTGACTGATGAGGTCGGACACCTTGCTGGGCTTTTCCTTCGGGACTCGAGAAGCTGCCGCAGCTTGCATCCCCTCCATCCTTGGTTTTGCACCAGATGAAGCTTTGTATCGGGGGGCCTGGCAGCTATCGGCTGAAGGTGAACTCTGTAGATGTAATGGTTTTGGAGGCACTGTAGAAAAAGAAGATGGGGTTCAGCATCTCATGACATTCTGGTCCCTACCAATAAAATCTCTGGTGTCTTGAGTATAAGAACCTTCAACACTCTCAACCTTTGTGACGGGGCTTGGCCAAGGGCTTGTGTCTCTTGCTCTCCTGGACATTTGCTCTGGATCCAGTGGGAAACCCATCTCCAAGATACCATGTTTCTGTTAACGTGAAGTGATTTAAAAGCATCAATATTGAACATCGAGGGACTGACAGCACCGTGATATTGCAAACTGACGTGACATAGTCACTTCTCTCAACAAAGGAAAGAAAGCACAGCCCCTGACAGAATTCCCAGGGACACACTGCTCACTGCAAATCTTGTTATAACAGATCTTGTTATAACAGAGCGATCTTGATACAGCAGGATCCAGAGCTAGTGAGTCAAACGTGGACATCAACCAAACATCAAGCACACACATGGATGTGTTAACATGAGTTCCCACTTAATAAAAACACCCCTCTCTGTCTGTAGGTCAACATTCTGGAGGGTTCCGGGGTGTCTACCAGGGTGCTTGTGCCAAAAATTCTGCTTACATGTCTGCTCACCCTCAGAGTCTCCCACCTCTGTCAATGGTAGAACCCCCCAGGTCTGTTTCTTTCCCCAGGTTGAAAACATTTGAAAAGCAAGAATTGTAACATCTCTTCTTTTTTTTCAGTCCATAAACATTAGGGGAGCCAGTCCTGATACCCAGAGCCATCCAGGACACCTTCCCCCTCTGTGAGTGGAAATGATAGGTTTGTGGTTTCCTCAATCAAAGTCTTCAGTCTGTCTGATTCTTGGAATCAGATCAACAGAAATGATACCCGAGAAAAAGCGTAACACCCTTGGGAGGGCAGGGTGAGTAGCTTCCAGACAAGGACCGTCACCTGGCAGAGCCCTCAGCCTCCCTTGCCTTTCAGGAGTGGGTGTTGGAGCCAGGACGATATCGTGTTCTGTATAGGCCCGAAGGGAATGATAAGCAGCATGAAGACATGTGCTCGCTGACCCAGCAGCCTGTGGCCCGGAGGCTGGAAAGAGGCGAAACCACATTCCACCCACGGATAGTCAGTAAGGGCGTGTGATACTGCCTCAGCCCCGTCAGACTCACCAACAAAACAGAATCTGACATGCATGCTAGCAAAGCCACGAAGCCATGCGAAGGCTCAGGCATCCTGAGAGGGAGTATAAATTCATATGGCCACTAAAAATGGAACATTTCAGAATATCATCCTAGAGCAATTCTTAGAATTCTTGGACATCCACACGTCTACACGAGGGATATGGATCGAGTACCTATTGCACCCTCCACAGTGGATCATGGAATGCATATCGTGCCAGCTTACAGAAGGGGCATATGCTGGGAAACGCATGGGGGAGGGGCCACAAGAACCGGAGGGTGGGTCGGGGGACCTGGAGGCTGAAGGAGGGTAGGGCAAGTGGCACGCAACGCAGGGTGTTCGGGGCCTCTGAGCAGCTCAGATGTAAATGGAACTGGAAGCTGCACACTGTAGGGACCAGCACCCCATAGGAAGAGGGAAGCGGGAGCAGGGTACGTTCAGGTATGGACCATGCATGATGGAGATGAGGGGGTGGCTTATGTGACCACCTCAAAAAGTCTGCTCTGGCCGCAGTGTTGAGAACATGGGGTGCGGAAGGCAGAGAAGTGTGGAGGTACTGCCACCCCATTCAGCACACACTTGCTGCCATGCACCTGAGCCTCATCCACCCGTTCTCATGCATGCAGTTCTTCCCTCTGAGTTACCCTCCTTCATGTGACCACTGACAACGGCCTATGGGTGGCGTATGACACCTGCAACCTCAGCCTGCTCCTCTCTGCGTCCCTCTGCATCCTAGTCTTTCCATGCCTTGGCATAAAGAGAGTACCCACAGCAGACACACGCAAGGGTACGTGAGGCTGTGCACCTGTGAAGGGGACGATACCGGCTGCTTGTGTGAGCTTCTTGTCACTTTCACTAAGAGATGAAAAATGCAAACACTGATCTATTGTTGGCATATGTCGATTTCTGCAACAAGAATTCAAGAGGTTTAGGTGCAGTGGGCAAGTGTGGCTTACAGAGCAGTGATGCCGAGGGCACGAAACAGGGACTCTTTGCTGGTATCACTTTTTTTTTTTTTTTTTTTTTTTAAGACGGCATACGAGATGTCGAGCAGTGACTGGAGTTCAGACGTGTGCTCTTCCGATCTTTTCTAAACTTCTTTTCTTTTAACTCTTTAA